ATGCAGTACAAGGTCACTTTTCGCCGGAATAACAATCTGTTTTTAGAAGAAATTAATTTTATGTGTTGGAAAGAGTCAGGAAAATGCCTTATGTGTGCTAGTTTATCATGACATTAATGATCTTTCTTTATTATGTAAGTGTGAACAAGGTGAGACAGTTTGTCTAGACAAAAAGGTAAATGGCAGGAGTTTGTCACGTGGTCAGCAATGGAAAAGAGAGGAATTGCTCATGAAATACTGATACCCAGGATAGAAGATTGTTTGGCATAAATCTTCATGTCCTCTATTCCAACTCAGTATGTCTTAGATATTTTGTACAATTTGCCAAAGTCCCTTGCAGCTGTTGTCCAATATGTCGAAGTCCTTTTTCAGACAATACCATGGTTGTGAGACGAAGAAAAAACATTTTTTGAAAGATCATCTGATGAAGTTCTTGAAATAATTAAGGTTAGTAGGGGAAAATGAAGTTGTACATCTAAAGGATCAGATTACTTAAAAAAGGGTAAAAAGTTCCTGCCTTTAAAAAAGAAAGAGGAAAGTGGAAAATACTGGAATAGTGAGTTTTTTAAAATAAGTATTGTGTAGTTTGAATTTATGTGCCATTTTTGAGTTTCAATGTTGTGTAAGTTCTGCAATCTCATTTTGTTACACAGCAAAGGAAAAACAATTACGAAGACTGTTAAATGTTGTGGAGTAAACTTTATTACAAGTGGAACAATAGTGGAATTATAGATCAGTGATAGGAAAATGAAATGCTTAAAAGGTATTTATATGAGAGCTTTTCAGTAAAAAGTCTTGTATACTAAAGTGATACACTCAAACTCTTTGTGTCTCTCTAACTGTACTAGAGCTAGTTGTAAAATGAAAGCTGTGAAATTTTTGTTTGTTGCTATCTGTATGTCATGAAAGAGCCAAATGGTTTCTAAAACATACAGTCACAAACTGATCATAAAATTCCCAAGTGGACTCTGATGTGACTATCATAACAATGGAATGGTGAGTCACTGCAGGAGAATTAATGTAATAATCTTTTCCAGTATTTATAGGACTGGGAGGATAAAATGTCATTTAATTTTATTTGATTAAAAACTAGTAGGCAAGAGAGAAAGAGGAAGAAAAAAGTGAAGCATCTTTTATTTCAGACATGAAAGACGGATGGAATATATAAAGAAGTATATTATAAAGCAGGATATTATAGTGATTAATTTCAAATCTGATCAATGCTCCAAAATGGTCATGTTAATATCATAATGATTCTATTTGATAACTTAAGGTGATAGGTTTTTTTTTAGGTTCTAGCTGCAAGGTGTAGCTTTTGAGTGGAACGGCTAGATTATGAGGAATCGATTGTGAATTGAATCAGAGCTGTATCCTCCTGTATCTAGTGCTCTCAGATTAAATATCATGTCTACTGTTGCTTAAAAGTTTGTTTGGTCTGTGTTGGTTCTTTCAGAAAGGGCAGTGGAATTCAGTGAGCATGTGTTCATTCACAGTAGGTGCTTGCATGGATTCTGACCTAAAGCTCTTGAGTGCTGTCACAATATTGAGAGTTTGTCACTATGTCACAGTACAATGACCCCTATCCTTTATCTCCTCTGCTTTGCATTGCTAGTATTTATTTTTGGTTTATTTTTAAGATCTTCTGTATTAATAAGTAGCATGTATAAGGGGCTTGTCAAGCTAAAAGTTTTATCAAATTTAAAATGAATGAAAACAGAAGGAGATACACATGAGGAAAGGTGGAACTGTTAAAACATAAGTATTCTTGAATGAGCTATAAGATCTTCAAAAATTCATCTGGAAATAAAAACCTCAGGGTTACTGAGGTTTTGCTTTATAAAGCAAAATTGTCTGGATTTGGCAAAAAGGTACCTAATTTATCTTTCCATATTTTGATGTTCAAATGTGATGAAACAAAGGACATTCTCTGTAATACAGAAGTGTTGGTGAAATAAGGATCAAATCTGTTCAGTACTTTCTGGAGATGACCAAAGAAGACATGTTAGGTGTCTAGATGTTTAGAAGACAAAGAGGCATACTAGAAATAAACAAGTAGTTAAACATATTAGTGGGAAAAGACTATTTTCTGGAAATCCACGTTATTAATGATTTTAAGTGGAATAAAATTATTTTTCCAAAGTATTTTAAGGATAGAAGTAGCTCTTCTGATGCTTCCTGTACCTTCCATGATTCTTCCTTCCAGCATCGTAAGTCTGTTTCAGGAAAGACAGACTAATTTTCTAGCTATGATAAAGAAAAAGAGCATTTGTTTGTTTTTTAAACAAAACAAAACAACCAAAACCAACCATGAAGACGTGACTCATGCTGATTAAACTTTTTTTTTTTTTTTCCAAGAGGAATTATGATGTAATTTAGATTGGTTTTGACTGTAATGTGTTGCTGTAGAATAAGTGCAATCCTAAATCACACTTGGGACTCCTGTGATTAAGTTTTTTGAGTGCATTTCTGAGTGGGTTAATCTTATGCAGTAAAAAGAAAAAGGTGGTTTTAATTTTCTGTTGCTCCTCCACATATTTCTAAAGGGATTTTTCTAAATGGATTTGCCTACAGAACTAGAATATAAAAGTTAGAGGTCTGTTTATTGCTTATGTACATTATTGCTGGTAAAGATGAAATGGAAACAACTTGAGTGGAAATCAAAGCATAACAGATATACCCTGGAAATTTTAAAAGTAATTTAGGAGGATTTGTATGTTTTCTAGAATTCGCGTTCATTTTTGCAAGTTTCTAAGCTAAATGCAGAGTTAAAAATTACATTTTTATGTTAATAATTTTCATTGAAGAGAGATAATAAAAAAGTAGCTAATTAGTTTAATATCCCACTCAATAGCCAGTTGTTTTTATGGATTTTTATGGGCGTAGTGGAAGTAACAGTACAATGCAAAGAAAACCTAAATGGATTGGAATCTTTGTCATAAGGGAGCTTCACTGAATCTTAGTGGCATGTGAGAACTTAGAGAGAACATGCTTGGAATTTTCAGCATATGCAGGTATGTTTGCAATCTAGCTAAATTCTTATGTTCAGTTGTGTAAAAGAAACAAACACATTTTTTAACTGTTTCAGTTTTGTGTTTATAAATTGGTTTCAGTGAGTATACTTTTGCTTTTGTTAGGGTGGAAGATAAATCAGAATATTTAAATAGATTGTGGGAGCATTTATATACCATGGATGGTATGACCTTTGTAACATAATTTTGTCTTCTAGATACTGCTTACAAAAAAATTCTGGGTCAGTGCTTTATTTTTTCATATGAGTTATGCAATTTAATATTGGGTGATCACCCAACTAAATTCTCTTTCCTTCATTAACTTTGTAAAATATTGTAGGAAACTTTCGCTTCTAGAGCATAAGTTTAGGAAACATGGTAGTATAGCACAAAGAAATTGTGTTAAATAATGCAGCCTAAAGATCTTAAAAGATCATTTGCTCTTACTTTTAGCCCAAGTAGAGTTATATTATTAGTCTGTTTATTATTAAATGTGATTTTTTTTGTTTCTTTGGGTGTTTGTTTGGTTTTTTTTTTTATTTTTTAGAGGATTTTCATATGTAAGTCTTTACGTTTTCTAAAAAATGTTTCTTGAAAAATGTTCAGGTCTTCATTGCTTTTGAATTTCTGTTCTTATCCAAAGCAATTTCTGGTTGAATCTTAGTTCTTTAAAGAGTTAAACAGAAAAATTTCACTTAAAAGGTGCTTACCCTTGGGATGTATAATTTGTGAGAATAAGTTTAGTTCGTATTAATTTCTGTTTAATATGAATGTAGCTGATAAGTAGTCTTCAAAACCTGTTTCACATAAAAGGTAATCTGAGAAGTGGGAAAAAGCCCCCATGCAGATATTAATATGGAAGTAAATGGAGAATTTGTTTATTGAGTTTAGTTTGAGTTTCCCCCAGTCAACAGAGGTCAGTTCAATCAACTGAGAGAAAAGACCTATGGAATACCAAGATGCAGAGAGTAATTCATGTTTTGTACTTTGGTTTAGATACATTCTCAAAAAAAGCAATAAAAATCCTTTTCTTTCTCTGCTCCAATATGCTTTCCCTTGACTGTAGAATTATAGATAGATACTTAGTAATTTGAAAAGAAAGCATTTCCTAAGTGGAATTGCAGTTGTACAAGCACTGCATTGCTAAGTGAAGAGACAGGTATTTCTGTCAACAAAAATAGTTCCTGAATTTTAATCAGTCAGGTACCAATGTTGTTAGGCTAAAGAAAGAAGGGGAATAGGGCAGCTCCTAGAAGTACTACTGCTCGTTTATAGGTGAAAGAAGACTTGACACAGCATGAAGTTCTACTAATTTTGTAGCCCAACCTGTCCTGATCCAAGGTGGCTGTGTCCCAAGTCACTGTTTCTTTGGAAGGTCTCAGGAGCAAAGCCTCCTTGTCAGCCTGTTGGATATACAGATGCTGACACAGAAACCTCTCTAGAATGAATCTACAGAAATTGCAGAGCTGTCAGGAGAGCAGTGTTCACCTTTCCACAGTCTCATCTCAGCTGCCTTTCTTCTTGTTCCTTTCTTACTCAAGCTGGGACCAATTGGAACCTGCTCAGTTCCTTAGTTTCCTGTGTTTGCAGATAAACTGTTTACTCCAGACATTCTCCTCCATGAGGTGGCTGGGAGTCAGCAGCCTTTTCCAGTCACTTTATCTCAATATCAAGTCTGATGTCACTATCACCCTTCCCAAATATGAGACAATGATTTTTTTGTTGTTTTGGTGTTGTTTGGTTTGGTGTTTTCATTTGTTTGTTTGTGGGTGTTCGTTTTTTGTTTGGCTTTTTTTTTGAGGGGGGGGAGGGGCTGGTAGAAGATTATTCTGACATAATTGCAATTCTGCACAAAATACAAAAAATACTTCCAAAAAAGGCAGTGGTAAATTTTCCTCTAGTACATGAGGGGAATTATAAAAATAAGTTTTAAATCAACCATCAGTTTATCACTGCTGTGAGGTAAAAGGTGTTTGTGTTTTCACTCAACAGCGCTTCCTTGATATGACGTTTGGAGCTGGTGGTCACACAACAGCTCTTCTGGAGAAAGCCAACAACATCACTGTGTATGCACTAGACAGGGATCCCACAGCTTATAAAATAGCTCAGCAGCTTTCAGAAGCTTACCCGTAAGTTGTCTCCTCCTGTCTTACATATGGTTGAAATAAGGTTTGTACTCAGGTATTTTATACGTAATTTAATGTATTTCTATCGTTTTTAATACCTGATTGTAGAATAGCATTCTATGCTGTATGTACCCTGTTGAACAGGAGATCCAGTTCAGTTTGTTTATTTGCATGCAGCTGCTTCTTAGGTTTTTGGAGTTAAATGTGTATTTTGTAGTTTTAATTTTAAGTGTGCATCAAGTAGTTAATTTTATATTTAAAAATAGATTTAAAAAAGATTCACGTGTTCTGCTTGCCTTGAGATGATTCTGGTTGCAGAGTACTACAAAAACACATCTTTGTGGTACTTATTTCACAAAAAATGATGGAATAATATGTTTTAAAATAATTAGGTAACTTAAATATGGATTATGAATATTTTAATTAAAATACCCCAAAATAATTGTAATTCATTATTAGGTTTGCTAAGTGTTTTGCCACTGGCTTCAGAAACTACTGAACAATTTAATAAGCTATGGTTTCTGTGTATAGCTTATACTTCAATTTTATTTTTAAATAAGGGTGCTGAATTTCCTAAATGAACAATTGCTAAGTGCAAATTTTTACATCTTTTTTAGTTATGCAAAGTTCTTGTTCCTTTATTTAATTCAAGAAGGAACCCAGTCAGAACATCAGTGCATTCATGCAAAAGTGTGGAATTTATAGAGTTGAATATGAGCTGTTCAGAAAGTTGAATTTTCAGATCTGACCAAGAAGTAAAAATATGTAGATACAAAATAAAATAATACAAAGTAATCAAGACTTAAAAAATTTAGGTAAGGTAGTGAGGAGATAATACTCTCTGTCAGGTTGAAAACATTATTTCAAAAGAGCTTTGACATGAATAAAAGCAATTATTTCTAGTAAGAAGAAATCTGGAAGAGGAGGATGAAAAAACACCTGGTTGTTCAGTCATGTTTTCCCACATAAAACAAAGTTCTAAGGCAGCAGTAATATTCAAGCAATGCAGAAGGTCTTCCTCAACTTTTCTAAGATAAAAGGCTAGACTGTGCATTCCTGTCTTCATGAGTGTTTGACAGAGAGCCAGTGGGAGAAATGCAAGCATGTGTCAAGATAGCATAGCTAAGTTTCTACTCTGCAAGACCACTTACATATATTTCTTTAAATTTTCAGTTCTTTTTGGGCTGAAGTGACATGCAATGTATACATAAAAATTTGTGGAATTCCTCTCTTTACTGTTATTTCTCCAGAGAATGCTCTTTTTGACAGAATGCTCTGAAGAATATTGTCAAGGAAAGTCCATTTTCTTTTAAACTAAGCCTGCAAACGTTCTGCCAAATGTCAGGGGAGTTGTAAAGTCTTCTGTTCTTTTTGTCATAGAAAAAAACCAGTCTTTTAGAAACATTCACACAACATAAAACAACAATGAACAGTCTGAATCAATGTAAATTTATCTGAAAGTATCCTGTGCAAACCTGGATGTGAAAAGTTTATTTTCCAGATAGATTTATTTTCCAGATAGACTTTACAAGTGCTGGCTGCTCTTCTGCCAATAATTGACATCAATAATTTTCTGCTTGTTTAGAAAAGATGAACTTTGTATAGCAGTTGATGTAACTTATTATGGTTTAATAGACAAAGGAGGTCTAGTTCTTATTTTTGATGGTGGTGTCTACATTTATGGATGCAAGTTATCCTTAGAATGAAGTGGACCCTTAAATAACATAGTGTTGTTGGTGAAAAGTCTCAATAATTGAAAGATGACTGCATCACCTGGATATGTATTGTAGGATACAGAGCCATATTCTCATTTGCTCTGGTGTTTTCCTTCATTTCCTGTCCTTGCTATTAGAAAGAACAGGTGAGTCCTTTTTCATAAGATAAATATTATCTTTTCTTACAATAGTTTATGTTAAAATTTATGGCAAAAGAACGTTCTGTATGTGCTAATTATTAATCTGGTTTCCCTGGGAAGTCAGTTGCATAAACCATTGTCAAATTAAAAGGAGAAAGGAGGTATAAGGATGTAATTTATAAACAGGTAACACTAGTGTTTGCTTACAAATCAGTTGAGTATAAGGGATTTACTTCTGAGATATGGAGCTTTCATAAATGGATTTTTTTTCAGTATTCATTAAAAGATAGTTGGTCTAAAATTATGGGATTTTATTGTCTATTTTCTGCACTGTGTTAGAAATAAGCCTTGCATCAGTTCAATTCGAATCTGTGTGGGCATCAAAAGCTCAGGAAATTCATCCAGTTGACATCTGTATCTGGTCAGGTCTATTCTCAGATTAAACAGTTGCCTGGCTGACCAGGGAGCCACAGAAATAGTTGTACTATCTTAAAAATGGCAGTGGCAGCATGCAGTTGCAGTCTAAGAGAAATGTAGGGCTATCCCTTCTGTAAGAAGCACAGCCGTAGATGTACCTCACTGAACAACTGCAATACAGAAGGATAAACATCCTCTACTTTTTTCTGTTCTAGGTTTTTCCCCACATCTTCTGTTTAGCACTGCTATTTAGGGAGAGGTTATTTGACTTGCTGAAGTGGTTCATTTGCTTTGGAGGTAGCTGCACAGAGTTGGGGAAGAGGCTGTTGTGCATCCATAACCATTAAAACCTGATTTCCACTGTCTGAGACTGTGAATGCAATGGGCAAACTGAAAGTCATACTCCAACTGAATTTTCTGTTGCCATTTTTTTCCTACTTAAACCAGAATACCACATGTGTTAATTGTTACTGCTTATTCTGGTTAGATGACAATAATAGTAAAATCCTATAGTTCTGATATTGACGATGTGGCTTTGTTTTTTAATGTAATCTTTTTGGAATTCAGAAAAGTTTTTGATTCTGTCTCTTACCATATTCCTCTGGACAAAATGCCCATTCCACAGCTGGATAAACACATCATTGTGCAGTGTGTGAGCACAACAGGCTCACAGGCCGGGGACAAGGAGCTACACTGAATAGGGTGACATCAGACTGGAGAATGGTCAATAGAGGGGCTCCACAGGGCTCCATCTTCGGCCCTCTGGTCTTCAGCATCTTGGTGAAGGGCTTGGATGCAGGACTCAACAGGATACTAAATAATTTTGCAGATGATGCAAAACAGGAAGGAGCTGCTGATTCCCTGGAAGGCAGAGAGGCTCTGCAGAGAAACCTGGACAAATTAGAGCTGGGCAATCGCCAATCATATGAAGTTTCACACGGGTGTTGTGTGAGGGACTAAAATGTTAGTGGTGAATGAGTCAAAACAATCGGCCATTTGTGGAGTTAGTAGGTGCTTTGCTGATGATATCTGTGGTAACAGCCCAGGTGCCCAGGAAAGACACTGGGAGCTGGGCCTGTGAGGTCTAGGGAAGACTGAGAGGTGATTTCATCAATGCATGTAAATATGCAGGCGTGAGGAGGGTGGTGCCAGATTTTTCAGTGGTGGCCGGTGACCAGACAAGGAGCAATGGTGATAAACTAAACCACAGAAGGTTCCACCTCAACATGAGGAAGAACTTTATGTTAAGGGTGGCAGAGCACTGCAACAGATTGCCCAGGGAAGTCTTGGAGTCTCCCTCTGGAGACATTCAAAATATGCACGGATGAGTTCCTGTAACGCCTGCTTCCTGTCTTGGCAGGGCAGTTGAACTGGATGATCTCCAGAGGTCCCTCCAACCCTAACAATTCTGTGAAATATGCCCAAAGGTATTGTGGGAAGAGGAGATAAATATGGCTAAATTAAGCTATATAAGTTGTATATTCAGAACTTATAAATTAAATCTCCAGAGGTCCGTCTAACCCTAACAATTCTGTGATTCTGTGAAATGTGCCCAAAGATATTGTGGCAAGAGGAGATAAATATGGCTAAATGAAGGAATTTTTCTATATTCAGAACTTATAAATGACATCCTCCATGTATTTAACTGAAAGATAGCTGCAGTAATAAGTCACTGGAGGAGAAAACTGAGGAAAAATACATTTGATGTTTGTATTTTAAATGTGTCTCTATTTTTTGATAGCAATTTTATCAGAAATCTGAAGAGGATAGAGTTCCAGCTATAGCTCTCACATTCATTTAGTTTTGCTGTTTATTATTTTTATTTTTAAAAATATGTAGTGCTGCTTTAATAAGGAGAAAATGGGTCAGGGTCTGTTAGATATTCAGTGTGTGGGTGGGAATCCTTTGACGTGCTTTCTGGGGAAGCCACTAACTTGGGAATTGCTGCTGAGAATCCAGGAGAACAAGATAAAATTCAGTCAGTAGCAATATATATTACAAGTAAACCCTTTCACGCCCACTGAAAGGAAGAGGGTAGAGAGGTGGCTGAAATCTGTTATTAATTAAGCAATATCATGGAAAATTTTAAGTATGAGAAACTCATGCAAAGCCAATGTAGAGGAAAAAATACATGCTTTGTAATTCTCTGAGCAGAATAAGAAATTGTAAACTGAAAGTATGGATAAATAGTGTAGAATTCCTCATGCAATTTAAATACCATTTTATTGTAGTTTTAAAGTGATTTTGAGGTGTGTGGGTGCTTGTGGATTTTGCTTTCAGTGTTAAACAAAGTTTGCAGAAAAAACGCGATAGATAGCTGTGCATTGTATGCTCTGGGGTTGCAGGATCATGTCCAGGGAGGCTGCAGTTATTGGTGACCAGCATGGGACTCCAACAAGATGGGCTTCTGCTCAGGAAACCATTTATTCAACACAGGAACAAACTCAGATCCAGAGAGAGAGAGCCCCAAACAGAAGCGGGGGTTGGGTTTTATGGGACAGTTTAAGGTCAGAGTCTAACAGGGACACAGCAAGGGAGAAACCCCAGAGGCTCAAACGCAATCCCAACACCCTGGGCTGCCACCCCACGAGGGTCCAGGGTGGGACAACTCTTTCTGAGCTCACAGGGCACATCCCCTGGGGCAGAGGGATGGAGTTGGCACTTCCCTGGCTTTAAAGCCATGCCTCTCACTTGAACAATGCATATCTGAAACTAAATCTTTGCCTCCCTG